GGGCTTTGTTTTAATGGTTTAATTACATTTTAGTAATCAAAAAGCATTTCTAATTCATTGAAATCATGAAACTTATACCGTTTCACAACAATTTATTAAAAGTTTGACCAAAAAAAAAAAAAACATTTTAACATTTAAACATATTTTTTTCCTTTTTTTTTTCTTTTTCATTTTTTCCTTTTTATTTTTAAGTTTTATTTTTCTGTACTTCATTTTAATGGTTTAATTAAATGTTAGTAATCAAAAGGCACGTCTAATTAATTAAAATCATACACTTCAACAGCAATTTATGAATTTTTTTTATTGCATTTTTAGGGACCTATTTAATCCATACAATTTTTTCTCAAATTCCCTTTTTTTTCTTAAAATTCTGTTTTTCTAAGTTTTAATATTTATCGATTCAATTTTAATGGTTTAATTAAAGCTTGTCTAATCAATTGAATTTATCACATTTTGTAAAGTAATAGGATCCTGTTAAATGTTTTATTTTTTCATAAATTTTGTGTTTTGGGTTTAAATTTTTCTGGATTTATGATCGAGTACAAATCTGTTACCAAAAACTAAACCATAGAGCCCTGCTGAATGTCTAAACAGTGCTAATGGTGATGGTGCTTTATTTGTGCTGCAGTATCTGAGCGTCTGCACTAGATGTCTCTGGTGACTCTGTCAAATATTATTCCCAGGGTGCAGAAGCACTTTATATCAGTGTGCGTTTAGTGCAAATACAATCTGAATGAATTGAATCACAGCTGCTGTGAGTTACACAGAGATTGATGGTCGGGAATAAAGTGTCACTGCGGCCCATTTGAGAGACAAATCAATGATTTAAGGATTTATTTCCACCTTCCTAAAAATAGACGACCACTCAAGACCAAATGATAGCACTTCTACTGTTATATTTTGATAAATATACAGCCAAATAGTAATAAATTATAATGTTTAAAAATATAGAGTGAGGCACATTCAATATCCTGTTTTTTTTTTTTTCATTTAAACCTCAAAATAAAGTTGTATATTTAAACATTTTTAAAAAATGTATGACAAATATTTAAGATTAAGCCAAAAAATGTTATAGTTCAATGTGTATATAAAATATATAACTATATTAAATTTTTTTTTTTACATTTTCTGTCCCAAATAAAAAAATAAACTGCATTTCATACTGCATAATGCAAAATAAAGAGCTTTTTTTGTGTTTCTGAAACTAAAAATACAGTGAGGAAAACTGAATATCTTGGATTTTTCTTCCTTTTATATCTGGAAATAAACAACGTAGTATGTTTAAATGACAAATTAATATTTACAATTATTTATGACCACAATGTATGTACTTATTTGAAAAGATAAACAATATATTTCTTTTATCTGTGTGATTTATGTTCACAAGCTTTAAAATGAGTTTAAAACCGTTTCTCTTTCCAGACAAAATGCATCATCTCTAAAAGCTTGCGCTTTTTAAAAAAAGTAGCTGATGCGGTTTATGAAACCTTTGGCTTTACAGTAATATGATAAAGGAGATATTAAGTTATGAGTCACACACAAAAGGAAGAAGTGAATGGGTTCTGATTTGGTAGTTTAATCTTTTGACACAGACTGTTATTCTCTAATGGGCCGTTCACACACTTTACAGCAGCGATAAAACTCCAGTATCAGAGCAGAGGAGACCCAAAACAGCAGCAAACTCACATTTACAGCGTTTCATGGTCTGTAATAGAGTTTATTGATTCTGTTTTTGGCACAGTTATTATAGTTAACTAAAACCATAAAACTGTGTGTGTGTGTGTGTGTGTGTGTGTGTGTGTGTGTGTG